CTGTAGTAGACTCCAGGGCCCCTAGACTGGATTTTCATGGGTGAGCGGAGTGGTTAGAAAGGATCCAGGCAGCAGGTGGCTGGGAAGCTGCTAAAGCACTGAAAAGAGGACAGCTAGGCTGCAGAATAAACCACAGAATGAACACAGTCAAAGCGAGGAGGACCTGAGGAATACAATAAGGAATAATCACTAGGTGAGGACTTAGAGAAACGGAGGTGTGGGAATCCAGCTGTCTTTACACCTGAGGTGGCACTGCCTGCAAGTTAGAGATGGGTGAACCACCATGGTTTGAATACCAGAAGTGTTCAAACTAATATTTTCCTCTTTTTCCATTTACATATTTCAGATGGCCTCGAAGTAGCTCCTGTGCTTTTTTGTCTCACTGGGGGCACAGTTCAAACCAATTACAGTTGTTAGGACTCAGAGCAAACAGAAACAAAGAAGAAATGTGTGCTGTATCTGTGTCTGCTTCTCTTCCAGAGACCTGAAGAAGGGTACTGTGATACCCAAAAGCTGGTCTTTGTCTAGTGCAACCATGCAGGTGGTCCAATAAAAGATACCCGTCACATGAATTCTTGCCTCTTGCATGAAGAAACTAAGCGGTAATGAGCTTGCGATGCTTATTTGTATGCAGAAATCTAAATTTATGTTTCATTTACAAGATGCTGCACTCAGGCAACAGATAGTGAAGTAATTAACTGGTAATACTGGGGTGGACGTGAGTAGATTTCGAACCGACATACACCCACAGAGGAAGACTTCATAGGGTTTGTTTTGTTAGATATTTTCCTTTAGTTAGCCGTGGCATCCAACGGTGTTTGGCTTTGAACACGCAATGAAAAGAAAATATATCAGGCCTGGTTTTCAGAAATGCTGTGCATCCCACGGGAGCTCTGGCAACACAGCAGCAATGAAAACCAGGCCCATCGTTATTATTTATGTTATGTAATAATAGTGTATTACTTATATATGGACTCAATATCTCTATGATTGATATGCTATTAAAATGCCAATGGATATGCTCATCTATACTTTAACAGCACTGGCCACGGAGCAGAAGCTATGCTGAGTCAGGTCCTTTTTTGTGCTTGGAAGAGCTACCCTGGCTAAAATGCGACTAACAGGAGCTGGAGAAGTGTAATTCAATTCTTACAGTACAGTGTTTTTATTAAAGAAAACAAACAATAGGGACTTGATGAAAGAAAGAGCGACCCAGACCAACTTAAAAGAAGAGGTCAGTACCAAAGGAGTGATTGGGAACAGCTACACAGCCAGGCTTAAGAGGAAGTGCCAGTGTAAATGGAAGAGGAAAAGCATGTGAAGTGTGGCTGGGCATGAGAGGGGAGTGTCCTTTGAGTCCCTTGCATTGCTGTTGCAGCGTGTTCTGCCTCCTCAAGCCTTAAGCACAGATACTCGTATTAACAGAGGTCAACAGAGCATTTCAAGTCATTTCTCAGAGCTCTCGTTGCTTCCACAGAAGTCTAAAATCATGGCAGGACGGAGGGAGGGGAATGACCTGTTCAAATGAGCGGCGTGGTCATCGTACAAAACTACAATTGAAATCAGGTCAGCCATGACCCTGGAAGAATAGGAAGGGAAGATGAGAAGGGACACGATAGAATGTAATCTCACACTCCACACTGCAAAGGACATCTGCTGGAAATCCCAGCGTTATATAACCAGAACCACAAACGCTGCCAACATGCCACAGATGTCCTCCACAAGAGCGAATGAAAACAATGTAGCTGTACATCTGTCATAATTTTAAGTCTATTTTATTTGTATTTAGGAAACAGATTGAAGGAGGTGAACATACTCTTAAGACTACAAGCGGAGGAAAAGCTATTCAGGTCATATAAGACCGAATGGCAAGGGTAGGCATGGCACATGCCCCCTGTTATGCAATCAGTGCTGAGTTTTGGTCCTAAGCAAGTAATAAAACACAGTGCCATGATCCGGCAGACACTCGCACACATTTAACTTAACTACTAGGAATAATCACACTAACACAGGACACAGAACTACATGATTAAGTGTTTTCAGGATTGGGACCTGCATGCGTAGGTACACAACATGCTATAGTAATCTTTTTACAAACAAAATGTAAAACATTCGCTCACCAGAAATAAGAAGCTTGAGAAAGAGCAATACGTATCAAAGCACTGAACTGAGACCCCTCTACACCTATATTAAAATTTAACAGTCACATTTCCTTCTGGAATGCATTTGTATGCATTTTTGTAGTGTGAAAATGAAAACTTTCCCAGCAGAAATGCTTTGTTTTATTACTTAAACAGAATCTGCAGCTAGAATTTAGATTACATTATTAAAGGCCTGATTCTTGATTAGGTCAATTGCCCGATATAGCAACACCACCACTGAAACCCAAATACGACAACTGTTACTTTGCTTCAACTCTATCTTTCTTCTTAAGGAAACAGAAGCCCAGGACACTTGCCAAGCCCCCTGCATGGAGACATAAATATTTAATTTCAAGACAATGAGGATTAATGAGGCTTTTTCTAGGTGGAAACCTCATGATTTAAAACATACACAACTAGACTTAAGCAAGAACAAGAAATCGCACTCCAAGGACCAAGAAACACAAACTCTGGAACTCTAGGGGTCCCATTCTGATTTCGTACTTGGTTTAACATCAATGCAACTAACTTCAAAATTGATTTTTTCCTGATTTACCCTTATGCAACACCAGGCCCTAGAAAGTAAGAGAAGTAACCTGAAATGTGCATTTATGATTTGGCCCTCTTCTTATTTAAAAAAAAAAAAAAATCCATGGAGATTGTGAAGTGAAATGAGTTACATTTAGCTTGGCAGGAGTAGCCAGTTGAATTAAGTGATTTTTCTGCCCACTTATCTCTAATTTTAATGTCAGTGGAGATGTTCTCAGACATGTTATGCCACCATTAAAAAAATAAAAAATATATTTTTAAAACCTGCAGTAAAATGAGGTTAAGTATCTGCCTTAAACTGACAAATTCAAGGAGATTTAGAGTTAAGGCTGCCAACCCTCTCAATAACTCAGTGTTACTGCAGAATATAAAGCATGGGGAATCACAATACAAGAAAATTTATAGAGAGCCAGTTCTCAGAGTGCATCAGAAAATGCTTTACATATATTAGACGCTGAACAAGGTTGTTGTGAACAGATTTGAAGAGAGAGCGAGAGAGAGAGCACATGAGTGAGTCAGTGGCTTGGACAGCAGGGGAGAGAGATCCAGACAGATGGGAAAGTGCATGGGAGGTAGTGATCCCAACTGTGGAGATTTGTGTGAAGAGGCTACAGATTAGGCCACAAAGATTAGAAAGCAGAGTGAGTGGGGAGAAAGGAGGTTATTGGTAGGTAGGTGGGGGAGGAATTGGAAATAAGGTAAACAAAGGAAGGTTGAAGCAGAGAGGTGGCAATTTTAAATGTTATCTAGAAATTCAGAGGATGGTGCCAACAGAGGCCCGTACAGTACCGACTATAACTGTAAATGGGGAAGTCAACATCCACCGGGGGTGCTTCTAGTGGGGCCCTGCAGGGACTGGGCTTGTCCCTAAGATGATCTTTTATTGGATGACTGGAAAGAAAAAGGTTGCAGATGACACAAAGTCTGGGGGAGCATTAAATAATGAAGAGGACTGGACACTGATACAAAGCAAGTTGAGTCACTTGGTCAGCTGGGAGCTGGGAGATACAGTATGTATTCTAGTGAGAGCCACAAGTAAAGTTATTTATCCAGGAAAAAAAAAAGTGCAGTGCACATCTCCAGGACAGGGGCTCTACTTCAGGTGGCAATGATTCATGAAATGTCTAAGCATCATAATGGATAATCCAATGAATGTGACCTCCCAGCTGAATGCTGTGGCAAAAAGGACTAATACTAACCTGGAGCATCTGAATAAAGACTTGTAATTAGGAGTAGGGAGTGGTCTTACCTTTTCTTTTGGCACTGATGAGGCTGCTACTGGAATACTGTGTCAGTTCTGGTGTCCACAATTCAAGAAGGATGTTGAAAAATTGGAGGGGATTTGGAAAAAGAGTCAAGAGAACAGTTAAAGGAAGTCTTATTGGGAAAGACTCAAGGAGCTCAGTCCAGTTATCAAAGGGAAAGTTTGGGGTGACTTGATCACAACCTACATGTACAGCAATCTGATAGGAGAAGGTTCTTCAATCTTGCAGGCAAATGGATCACAAGATCCACAGACAGAAAACTGAAGCTAGATCAGTTCAAACTAGAAATAAAAAAGTACCTCAAAGTGGCTAACTAGCTGTTGGAACAATGTACCAAGGATTATGATGATTTACAGTGATGGAGAAATTAAGTTGGGATGTTTTTCTAAGAGGTATGTTACTGTTCATGTGCAGTTACTGGACAAGAAGCAGTACTGAAATCATGCAAATCAAAGCCTGTATGATGCAGCAGGTCAGAGTAGGTGATCACAGCAGTTCCTTCTGACCTTACCCATCGATGAAACCCTGGCATGAAACCAGAGCCCACTGGCTTCAGTATTCAGGCTGCACACACTGACCCATTGCGGGAAGAGGTGGAACGGCTACTTTGCTTGCACATTGCCATGTTATGGTCAGGTTACAAAGTACATTAAAAAAAATGTACCCCTAGCATAGAAAACCTTGAACCTTACCCATCTATTTTCAGTATTTCAAAGACCACAGTTTCACTGAAATATATTTCAATTTTTTTTAAGAAAAAAAGAACCTGAATATTTTTTCAAAACACACTCAGATGTTTAAATGACAGGGGCAATTCAAGAAGTGACCTTCCCGTATAAGATACTGATCCTGCCACTACTCATTCTTATACGTAACCTAAGTCACTGAAGCCAACAGAAGAACTGAGAGGACCAAGATGTGGAAGTATCAGGCTTCTGTGACTGAAGCAATGCATAAAAGGGACAAGATACAGGAGAGCAATTCAGGGAACCGAGCTTCATAAGAACTCACAAATAAATATATGGACATGAGCTATGTTCAGTACCTCCATCGTTATCCAGGTTATCGCCACACACCATTTCCATGACAACGTTACATCCTGTGCCACTCCAACCCACTTGGCAGACACAGTGCCATCCATTCTGATCCAGAGTGCATCTTCCATTTCCATAACACAGACCTGGGCAACCATCTGGAAAAGAAAACAGAGAGAACAGGACTTCATGCTGGAGTTTATTTTTCTTTTTTTTAAAGTCATAAGCTATCCAACAGCAATATTTAAATGTCTATAATATTGGCTACTTGCACATGATAGCACAGTAAATCTACTTTGGATATCATTCACAATCTTGACCAAAAGACCTCAAGTTGTTCCTAATACGGCTTGTATAGGAAGGTGTGCCTACGATCTGAATGCATGTAGATCTGGTGTCTTGGGAGCTGTGCACGTAAAGTCACATGTGGACGAGCAAACAGCATCTCTACACACAAATCGGGTATATGCACAGATGCCTACCTGCTTTATATGCAAATGCTACACGTTTCTCTCCCCCAATTGACACTTTGTATTGTTCACACTGAAAATCTGTCACCCAAAAAAGTGCACAAGACCTATGCAATCAAATGTGAAAGCAGCATCTAAAGATATATTCCTATATGCTGTAGGTATCTTTATTCACCTGGGTTCGGGAAACCTATTTTGATTCGTTGTACAATACTTCCCCAAGAATGGAAAAAGGTAGTTTTCATTGCAGTGCAGACTCATTTCCTAGTTATAACATTACATTCTATTCAAAGAGGACAAACGCTTGCCCTTTAGTGGCTTCAGGAAATATTTTGCCTCTTTTGGTAAATTATGGATCTAGATCAAGACTGGAACAATGACCGTATCATCCCCTGGACTGCAGGTTCGTAAACTCTGAATCAATAGTAGTTTGGGCATTCTCAACCAGCTATTTTGCTCTGTATGCCTATATGAGTGACGGATAGATAATCTCTTGGATGTGTACACTCATGTCCATCTGCTTGCATGGTCTGGTGCCAGCTCAGATGCTTGTCAAATCCTTACCACACCACACAGGGAGCCAGAGGACAATGGATAACTCTGAGCAATCAGCTTAACACTGCAAGTGGCATCCCTTCTAAAAGGAGTCCTTTCTCTTTGCCTGAGCAGACTTGCAAGAATTCAATACCTCTCTGTACTTGACAGTGCACTTGTGCACTATCAAAGGGAAAAGATTTGATACAGAGAGGAGGGGAAGACTCAGACTGCAGGCATTTCTGGTAGAGATGTTGCAAAAGGTCCTTGGAACAGATGACCAAAGAGACAGGGACTAAGTAAAAACCGTCAGTCTAATCCAGTGCTGTGTTCCTGAGCTGCATGCACTAGATGCTGAGAAGAAGGTGCAAGAAACTTTACGGCAGGCAGATGTGGAATAGCCTGCACACAGCGGAAGTTTCTTTCTAATTCTCATTTTAAAGCTTGGTTGCTTTCCAAAATCCTTGTGTTTTGTTTTGCTTTGTTAATCTTTACTGTTGCAACCGTGGATGTTCTTTCTAATCACATAAATATACATGACACCAGTGCTCCAGGATCTACACTGGCTGCCGATGAGTCTCCAGGTAGAATTTAAGCTGTTGCTTATGGCCTATGATGCCCTAAATTTCCTGGCATCTGCCTAGTGGAAAGATGCTGCCTCTCCCCTCCCTGCAATGCCATGCTGTCACAGCTGTGAGCAGCAGGGGTGCTTGACTTGGATCCTTTTCATTATAAAAAGAGAGGGAGAGGCTGGTGTGGTGCTCTCAGAGTCGGCTCTGAGATTCTGGAACTTGCTCATCTCTGGTTTGAAATAGCTTGAACTTGATGATCTTCCATGTATGCCATCAGAGCCAATTATTTTATAGGGTTTGGGGGCAAGGTGGAGGGCATGTTCCTGGGTAGATCACAAGGGCAATTTTCAGCTTTAAAATGTACTGGCCAGAAGATTAAATTCATTATTTGTATGCAATTCAGGGGCTTTATGGCTAGGGACAGACATTCAAAAAACCAGAGCCTAAATTGATTCAATCTTTGCCAGGGCCTGCCAGCCCTGGCTACTGCTGATCACTCCCTGCATGGGGGGAGCGGTAAGATAAGCCCCCTCCTTGCCCCTCCATCAGATGCCAGAGGGAGGGGGAAATAACCCCGCTCCCTGCCTCCTCGCCTAAGGGGGCCCTGCCGGCCAGCCTCTGGCCGCAGCCCTGTCCCTGGAGTGGGGAGCGACTGTGACAAAGGATGGAGCCCCTCTCATGGTTTGCTAGAGCGGGCAGAACTGCTGCAGACTGCGCGGGGCAAGGGGTGGCACCGGGGCTCAGAGGGGTGGCCATAGCCGCCAAAACCTCCCCTAGTGCCACTGCTGCTTGCTCTGCACAGTCTGCAGCAGCTCTGCCCACTCCGTTTTGCCTTGCCCCTGATGGGAAGAGGCTGAAGTACCTGTCACGGTTGCTCCCCCATCGCTGCTCCAGCAGCAAAGACGGGGGCATGGCCAGAGCAGCCCCCTTAGGCAAGGAGGGGGGTGATTTTATTTCTCCCTTTGGTGTCTGGCAGAGAGGTAGGGAGGGGGCTTATCTTGCTGCTCGCCCCATGCAGGCAGCGATGGGTGGTGGTGGCAGTCAGGGCTGGCAGACCCTGGCTGCAGTTCCCTGGGGGCAGAGGGGGAGGAAAGGGAAATAAACTTCCTCCCCTGCCCCCGGGGGCCATGCTGGCCAGTATCTGGCTGTGCCTCTGCCCCTGCTGCTGCGGCAGTGAGGGGGGAGTGCCAGGCGGACCCCGGCTTGGGTCGGTGCTGGTGGGACAGGGAGGGAGGAATTAACACCCCCTCCCTGGCCAGTTCACGTGAGGCTACTGCCAGATCTGGGCATGTCCCCACTGCTGGAGCAGTGAGTCCAGAAATGCCTGGCAGGTCCGTGCGGGTGGGAAACGGGAGGGGGGGGGAAATAAATCTTTCCCCTGCCTCTTTCGTTTGGGGGTGGGGGTGGAGCCATTAAAATAGGATAATGTGCACCACAGTGGAGGTACTAGAGTTAATTTGCATTACCTAAAGAGCATTAATGAATGTGTAGACATGCCCTCAGAGCTGAAAGCTCTTCCTAATCTCCAACCTAAATTCTCACAGAGAACAGTCTATCTCCATCTTCTTTATAACCTTCCTTGAGGTATTTGGAGACTGTTTTCAAATCCTTGCACCATCTTGTCTTCCACAAATTCAATAATCCAAGCCTTTTCAGCCTTTCCTACTCCTTTTCAGTGCTGCTTCCTGGGCCTCTCCTCATTTTTGTTGCTCTGTGCTGGGCTCTTTCCAATTTGTCCCCATCTGTTCTGAAGTGTCAGGGCCCCAAAAGTTCTGTACAATGCTGTATTTTGAAATGTATTATTTTCCTTCCCCCCCACCCCACCTCCCAAGCCTTAAAGAAGGATATTTTTTAAAAAAAATTAAAAACGACTCCGGTTGCATTTTTGTTCTAATGGAAGGACCGGTACAAGTTATTTTGGTAGTGGGAAATCCTCACTGCTGTCACCATTTTGCGAATGGAAACTCAGCAGCAGAAATATGACTTGCCTCCCAGGCTATATTAAATATCTACATTGATATTGGTAACAAATTGCCAAGGCAGCATTGTAATCATGCTCACGTTAGACAACTCTGCTTCTGATGGAGCACTGTGACAATGTAAAGAGATAAGAATGCAGAACGGACTGATATTCTGTTAAACACATTTTGTTAAAAACAAAAAGACTTTTGCCCTGTCAATGTATCTTTCTATCTACTTCTAGCCATAGTCGTCCTTTCACTCTGTCCTGGCAATGTAAAATAAGAGGGATGCTGAGAAGTAAACACAGAACAAAAAACACCCCAATCCCCAACACTTTTGTATCCTTTTATTACGTTTCTGCAATGCCGAAAGGAAAAGCTTACCTCGGACAGCATCTAAGTAGTGAGCTTAAAAAAGAAAAAAACAAAACTGTGATAGATTGAATTTCTGCACCAAAATGAAAATATAGAAACCATTTGCTAATGGTTTACCATCTGTTGGTTAAGATAAAGTGCCTCCCTCTTATTGCAATCAGGTCTCTTCCTACTACTTTGGATAAAATAAATTGCTCATCTTTGTTATCCATATGACCACCAGGATGCACAGCACAGCTTGCATCATTCACAGTAGCGCCTATAATGTTAATAACAATGACTGAAGAAAACACATGTAGCTGCAGTTGTCTTTTGTTAATAAACAGTTCCTTTTTTCTTTGCACCGCCCTTCTGTTTTTTCCTGAAAAATGTGGCCCTTCCCTATTCATTAAAATGGCAAAAATGTACAGGGAGCAGCAGAATTACCTTTTAAAAGCTTGCTTATAGGAAGCCAAATTGATTAAAGTTATGCTAGGAAGTTCCTTGTACGTGCAAATTATTTTGTTCAAAAAAGGGGTTTTGTGTTGGGCTTTTAAAAAATGGAAGAACAGATTAACCAATGGCTGAACTGAGTACGTGGCACAGCATTTGCAAAATATGAAAGCTTGAACTGCTTACTCCTCCAAACGAGGCACCCACGTCTCTCATAGGCAATTAAAATGTTTATGAATAAGACTGTTCTTGAGACACTATTAATGATGTTTTGACAAGAAAGACTATTAAGCTTTGCAAAAAAGTATCTAATGCTGCATCAAAAATATAACAATTACATCTGTACTACTGAATGAGGACTTCCAAAAAGATCTGCAAGCTTAAATTTCTTAGGAATATTGTTACAAAGCAGCTACACAAAAACCACCTATAGTCCAAAGCAAAATATTTAACTTCTCTGATGTGAAGGCAGAAGATTTAGTGTAAGATGGATTTAAACTGCAAGAGAGAAGGTTTAAAGGAAGTCATTTAAGTTTTACTTTTTTTTGCTTGTGACTTCCAGTTCCTGTAGGATGGTAGCCCAGATGCGCAGTTGGATGCACCCTGCATATCTTTGTTTTGATATTTTCAACTTATTACAATGATATTGTTTCATCTAAAATAACAGCTGTGCTGAGACTACTCTATGGGACCAACAGCGTTCCAAGTCAATGGAGAGGCACCTGTACCTACTGAATTTGTTCTCTACCGTTCCCAAGCAAAATTTAACTTGATGGCAATGACACTTTTCTATTAGATGTTCAAACTTTTTTTTTTTTTTTTT